GGTGTAGGCTGTGATTGAGACAGGGAGACGGCATCACGTGCCGACGAATGACCTGCATGGGGCACTCTACTTTGCACTGAGGTGGGTGAGTACCCCCCTCCCTCCCTCCCTCCCTCCCTCATGTGTATGTGTGTGTGTGCAGGGACTTGCTCGAGTCGTTCGTGTCGTCCTTGGAGGCGCATGAAGTGGACATCTGCGTCACATGCAGAGGCGCAAGGGTCACACAGTCACCCATCCACACACACACAGACACACAGACATAGACAGACATGTCCGATCCGTTGCCTTGTGTCGTGTGTGTATGTGCAGGGCCTGCCCGACCTCATCAGCCAACTCAACACAAAAGGGCAGGCTCTCACGCACTTCTTCCCTGTCGACACACATCAGGACGGCACAGACAGCGGGGCTCTCCTCTTCGACCGTGTCGACGCCTCCATATTCGCCGCGGCACAGTACTTCGGTCAGCGACCGGCTCACACACACACACACACAGACACACGGTGGCGATCTCTCTTGGTTTCACGCAGGTTTCGAGAGCGTGTTGCCTTCCTGGGCGCCGCTGCTGAACTCCACCCGCAACGGGCACAGCTGCCTGCTGACGTCGTTGGTGACCTGGCACAGAGAGGACCGCTGCCCCCCGCCCCTCATGCAGCAGCAGAGACTCAGCAAGATGATCAGCATCGTAAACCAGCGCAGGCAGTGCAGTGCAGTGCAGGGCAGTGCGCAACCACAATGGTGTGTTGTCGGTCGGCATCTATGTGTCTGTGTGTGTGTCTGTCTGTCTAAAACGCGCAGATCAATGAGGAGAAGGGAAGAGGGTTCCTCCAGGAGCGAATCAACAAGACGGCCGCGGCCTCCCAGCAGCAGCAGCAGCAGCAGGGTGTGGGTGGTGCGATGCTCTCGCCGACCAACACGTACATTCTGGGCGCCACGGCGGACGCCTGCCCCGTCGAGCACACCATCGACTGGTCCTCCGAGTTCGAGCAGTACCTGGCGCGGCACGGAGCCGATGACGCCGGGCGAAAGGCGTCGCTCAAGAGAAGATCCGCCAATAAGGTGAGTGAACAAGTAGACAAACAAAACAATGCCGTCTTGCTGGCTGGATGAATGGGCGGACCTGTGTGTCTGTCTGCAGCTGGTGCCATTCCGCATCGGTGCGGCTGTGGGTGCGTCCATGCGGGCGGTGCCGTGGCGTGGGCGGTCGTCTGACGCCTTCATCAGCGGCCTCATCACCAAGAGGAGCGGGTACGAGGCGTTTGTGGAGTGGACTCGGGCAACACCCGAAGAGCTCAGCAGCAGCGCCACCGCCAAACACAACAAAAAACGGTCAAAGTGAGTGACGGCCGGCCGGCACACAGGCTGTCTAAGGGGGAAGACAGGCAGGGCAGGGCGGGGGAGGGGGGGCGGCTAAGTACTTGTACAGCTGAGAGAGATGGATTGAATGATGTGGTTATGGTATCGTGCGTGTTGTGTTGGGGTGTATGTATCCGTGTGCGCGTGCGTCTGGTGAAGACGTCCGTGCTGTTTGTTCTCTGGATGGATGGATGGACAGAGAATGCGACGGACGGATAGGCCTAGCTACGTAAGTATGCGAACATGCAACACGCACAGCCAGGCAGAGAGCTGTGTGATAGCTAGAGCTGTGCAAGGGCGACGTACCGCTATTGCGCACTAATTGTCGCCTGCTGCGGCGCACGACATGATGATCTTTCCTCCTCTCGAAGGTACATGTTTATCGACGGTCAGCCTCTGGGCTGTGGCCGCCTCACTCCTCACCGCAAGATGCACCGACGCATATGCATTCACCCTTTCCCTCCACCGATATCCATCGCCCCTGTCCTCTCCTTCCTCCCGAGTCCCTGCGAGAGAAGCAGCAGCGCGGCATCACAGGCACCACCACCACCACCACCGGAGCCTGCTGCGGATGAAGCTGAGCAGGGGCAACCCCATCCCATCAGCGCGCGTGAGGACGCTGCCACTCGACGCTGAGGTGAGAAGGGCGGGATGCTCATGATCGTGATGGTGTGCAGTGTATTGTATTGTATCCCTGGGCCATCTGGCGCTTCTGGTGCGTGCGTGTTGTACGTGCAGGTGATGATTGATGACATCTTTCGGGGGAAGAGGAGCGTCCTCTTTGCAGTGCCAGGTGGGATGCATTGCAGCATTGTGTGTGTCGCTTGGCGTGTGGGTGTGGACGGTGCGGTGCAACGGATCCACAGGTGCGTTCACGCCCACCTGTTCTGAGAAGCACCTTCCAGGCTTCTTGGAGAAGGTGGATGAGATCAAGTCATTTGGCGTGGACGTCGTGGCCTGCCTCGCTGTCAATGGTGCGTGAGGGAGGGAGGGCAACGGACGGGAGGACAGAAAAGTGGCTCGCTGGCTGGCTTGCTGTCTGGCTGGCTGGCTGGCTGTTTGTTTGCAGATCCATTCGTCCTCAAAGGTCTGTCGGTGTGCGGGGCACGCCACGCATTCGTGTGTGGGGTGCGGTCAATCCAGCCTGAATTGACCAACGCCCTCACTGTACTCCACTCCACACACATGAGGTTTCCTTCCTTTGTGTGTGTGTGCAGCATGGTCGAGCAACGCGGGCGTGGAGGGCCGCGTCATGATGATATCCGACGGAAACGCCGAGTTCACTCGGGTGCGTGTGAAGCGTAGCGTGGACGTGGGCCGCACGCATGAAGGAATGCATCATCGCATCTATGGTTACACCATTCATCATTCCGTCCACTCCACCAGGCGTCAGGGATGGAGCTCGACGCTTCCAGGGCGCTGATGGGCCTCAGGGCGAGAAGGTCGGTGGCGAGAACTAAGGCTCACACTGATTGATTGCCTTCTTTGTGCGATGGATGGATGGTTTGCTTGCATTGGGTGTTGGTTGGTTCAGGTTTGCCTGTGTAGTCAACAGTGACTTGGAGGTGGAGTGGCTGGGGGAGGGCGACAACAGCTTCGTCGACAGTGTGCTCGAGTACCTCAAGGCAAGCAAAGCCACACGCACCACCACACTCACGCACACACACACACACACACACGAGTGGCGGTGTGTGTGTGGTGCAGGATCCCTCAAAGGCTGACGCGCCCAAGACGACGAGGCGAGAGATCAACAAACCCATTAAAGAAGTCATTGAGTGAGTCAGTGAGTCAGCCGGCCAGTGAGATGTGAGATGGACAACAACACGGATTGGATGCTGGCTGGCTGGCTGCAGTGACATTGTGAGGGAGCATAAAGTTGTTCTCTTCATGAAGGTAACACCCAGCGACGGACGGACAGGACAGGCACACTCACTCGGTGCTTCATTCATTCCATCCGACTCGACTCCTCGGGGCTGCCCTGATCCGTACCTGCGTTTGTTTCTTCTTCTTCTTCATTCAGGGCACCCCGTCCACCCCGCAGTGTGGCTTCTCGGCGTCAGTGGTGGCCATCCTCAGAACACTCGGCCTCGAATTCGTCTCTGTAGACGTCCTCTCGTCCATGGCCATCAGAGAGGTCGACGGCGTTCCTCTGCACTGCACTGTCCACACACGCACATGCACACACACACACATGTGTCTGTCGTGTGCGTGTGCGTGTGCGTGTGCGTGTGCAGGGCATCAAGGAGTTCTCAGACTGGCCGACCATCCCGCAGTTGTATGTCAGTGGCGAGTTCGTTGGCGGTGCGGACATTGTGTCTGAGATGTTCGACAAGGGGGAGCTCCAGCAGCTCCTCATCAACCAGGGTCTCGTAGAAGCTGAGCCAGCAGAGACGGGATGAATCATACCATACCACCAGGTCGTTGGTTGCGGTCGGTTGGAATGAAAGATGTTGACCGAGAAAGAGGCGAACAGCCTCTGACAGACAGAGACCGACAAACACTTGTGATTGATTTACCATCGGTGTGTGTTGCATGTGTTGTGTCGTTTTTCGGAGTGACTGTGTAGCTAGGTGTGAACATGTGGCTTTCGGGACACTCGACACCATAGCTAAATAACACCGAAGTGTCTCGTGTCTCCACTTGGCCAGGAATCGGCAAAAAATATGCCGTCCATTGGCCGAAAGCGATCACTGGACGGCAATTCATATTCGTTAGCACCCTTTGATATCCGCCGTCACTCTCCTCCTTCTTGCCTGCTGGCCTCCCTGCTTCCCTACCATCCCTCTCTCTCCCGTCATCTCTGGGTCAACTGAACGTCGCCTGCAGCCCACAGCCCACCCCTCGAACGACCAAAATAAGATGATGGGTCCCCACCGCAACCCCGCTGCCGAGCGCCTGCGTGAGCTCCTCAACTCGCCCACCGGGGTCATCCAGGCGCCAGGCTGCTACGACGATCTCACCGCCAGGCTCGTTGAGCAGGAAGGTCCGCACTGGATTAATTGGATCAGGGAGAGATCAGCTGAGATCTGCACTGCATCCATCGTGCGTGTGTGCGGCTGTGTGTGGTGTGTCCATCAGGGTTCCCCTGCGCCTTCATGAGCGGGTTTTCGGTGTCTGGCGCGCGTGGATTCCCCGACACCCAGATGCTGGCCTACTCTGAGATGCTGGACAGCTGCCGGGCGATCACGGAGGCCGTCAAAAGCATCCCGCTCATCGCTGATGGTGACACCGGATACGGTAAGCTTTCACTGCACTGCAGGTAGCTGTGTGCACACACGACACACACCATGGGTCTGTGTGTGTGTGGGTCAAACAGGCAATGCGGTCAACGTCAAGAGGACGGTTCAGGGGTACGCCCGTGCGGGTGTGGCGTGCATCATGATAGAGGACCAAGTGGCGCCCAAGAAGTGCGGCCACCCCGCGGGCAAGGAGGTCATCCCGTTCGAAGACGCCTGCATGCGCGTCATGGCCGCCATTGACGCGCGGTACGGTGGGGTGCGCTCGGCCGGCTACACCACACCACAGCACAGCACATCCACTGCGTGTCGTTTCTCACCCGTTGTGTGCTTGGTGTGTCCTGGCAGGGATGAGGGCGCCGACATTTGCATTCTGGCCCGCACCGACGCGCGGGCTTCCCTCGGGTGGGTGAGATGAGAAGGAGATGAGAGAAGAGAGAGACCACAAATAGCCACACATCACCTCTGTCGTATGTATGGGTGTGTGTGAGTGCAGGCTTGATGAGGCCATCCGCCGCTGCCGGGCCTTCCACGCAATGGGTGCGGACATTGCCTTCCTCGAGGCACCCAGGACCGTCGAAGAGATGCGACGCTACTGCAGGTAAGGAAGGTACCCCTCCAATCCACTCATGCACTCATCCACCCACACCACACACACACATGAGACGCATGTGGTGTGTGTCCGTCCTCTCTCTCTCTCTCTGTGTGTGTGTGTGTGTGTGTCAGTGAGGTGGGAGGTCCGAAGATGGCGAATCTTATCGAGGGGGGCAGCACGCCGTTCCTGTCGGTGGACGAGCTGGAGGAGGTGGGGTACAAGCTGGTCATCTACTCGACGTCGCTCGTGTCGACCTCCATCAAGGCCGTCAGGGGCGTGCTCGGCGCACTCAAAAACGGCCACGACACCACGCCGCACATATCCTCCTTCTCGGGTGGGTGGGTGAGGGAGTGTCCATCCGTCAGCCCACCCATCCCTTGCCATCCCATCCATGTGTGTGAACTTGTGTGTGTCTTGTGACGATAGATCTCAAGGCTGTTGTCGGCTTCAACGAGTACAACGTCGAGGAGAGGAAGTACGCCGTGGCCAGCAAGCAGCAGCAGGAGCCGTCTGCTTCTAAGACGCCCACCGACTCCCGGACCAGCTGGCCCGAGTTCAAGCACTTCAGCGGAACCATTGCTCGTGTCGGCTCAATGGCCTCGACCATCGCCTCTGAGGGCAGCGTGCAGTTCGACTGACTGACTGACTTGGCCATTCCCACACACCCTCACACCCACACCCACACACAAGGGGGCGGATGGCTGGATGTGCGTGAGGAGGGAGGGGGAGAGGAGGGATGAAATACATAGCGCTACGGGCTCGCTTTTGGTCGATCGATGTGCACTTTGGTGTGCATGTGTGCGTGTGCTCGTGTGTGCGTGTTGCGTGTGTGCGTGTTGCGTGTGTGGGGCCAGCCGCTTATGTCTGAAATGGCATCAATGATGCGGCGGGGGGTTGGGAGGGGGCGGGGGTGTCGGGGGGAGAGGGCTTTTGGTTTATCGTGAGTTTTCACACATCACATTTTTGCTTCATACGCCCCTCGCGGCACACAGTAACATAGCACACCACACCCCGTCAGATAAGAAAGGACAATCCCCTCGTGTGTCATTCGTGTCGGTCATCGTGTCGTATATGGTGCTGTCTGTGTCGTGAAGGCCGTTCGTCCGTTTCATGTCGGTTTCATGTCGAAGGAGGAGAGGGAGGGGCGGCTTCTGGCCTGCCTGCCTGCCTGCCTGCCTGGTGGTGGATGCAGCGTACACACACACGTCCATTTGAGGAGAGACATGTAGTGCCGTCCGTCCAAGAGAAGCGGCCGGATGGTGGGTGGCTTACGTGCGCTCACTCGAAGGCACGTCAGCCACGCACATCGGTCAGTCCTGACTCCCTTAATTGGCTTCTCACATACGACGGTATAGAGCGGAGAGCGGAGGGCAGAGAGCGGAGCGAGGTTCACCAGGCAGGCTGCCTGGTCGGGTAGGAGAGATCATTTCTATGGCTGTAGGACATCGCTGTCATTCGTCGGTATGGTGCATGTGCCATGATGATATGTAGATGGATGGATGAGTGTATCCGTGCGTCCCTGTGCACATGCACCCCCCGCCCCCCCTCCCCTGTGCGTGTGGTGTCCGGTGTGTGGTGTGGTGTGGTGTCTCATAGTCGTACTTTTCTCTCTCTCTTACTCAGTGGCACGGCTTTTTCGCTCGTGTGGTGTCTGTCTGTCTGCCTGTACGTGTGTGTGTCTGCGTGCCATTCGTTCATGTGCCCAAAGAGAGCGGTCTTGCCTTGCCTTTCCTTGCCCTTTTTGCCTTTCGTCAATTCTTTTGCCACACATCATGTGCACACACACACACATACACACACACACACATACACACACACACACACATACCTATCCAGGTCACATCACCCGAATACGCGCCATTAGAGCAAATGGGCGAATAGAGTGTTTTCTTTCACTGCTCTCCGTCGTGCGGCAGCGCTTCCTTGGCCTGTAACCAAAACGACGGACATCGATGACACATGACATCACACACAACACGCCCGTCCACAAGGCCGACAGACAGACAGACAGACAGACAGAGAGACAGACAACACCCTCGCTGAGGACGCAATTTTGACTGTGCATGTTCGTGTGCGTGTATTCTCTACTTCCTATACGTTCTCCGGGCAGGCCCACTGCCTGCGATGGATGGATGGATTGCCTGATGGGTGGGAGGGTCGCCACTTCTTGAGGCGTCCATCTGCCCGGCCAGCCGGCCGGCTGACCCACCGAAGGACAGCGCGAGACAGAAGGAGTCTGAGGGCCCTCCCCAGAGAGGGGGAGAGAGCAGTTTTGAGGAGCCTCGCATGTTGTGGTGCTGCATGTGGACAGAGTGAGTGGCCTTTTCTACCTTTGTACGGTGTGATGTGATGCGTGTGTGTGCGTGGGTTGGCCACGAAGTGGAGGGCGGGCGGGAGATGGAATGTGCGGCCTCGTGTGTGCGGTGGTGGTGGAGGGGACGGGCACGGCGCGTCTCAGAGAGATTTGGCTGCAGGGCGTGTGTGCGTGTCTGTGTGAGTGTTCCGGGAGGCAGGCGCCGAAAGGCCACCCACTTAACTCACCCTTAATTGCTGTGGTCGGGGGGAATTTTGCCAAAGTGTGCTGCTGCTTGGCTGGCACCAAAGCGATGGAGAACTGTGTAGGAGGGAGGGAGGAAAGAAGGGAGGGACGACGGATGTGTACCGTAAGTATCGCCTAAAGCAATCAGTACAGCGCGTGATTGCTTTATCTTCTGCTTGTTTTCTGCGGGGTTTCTCGCCCGCCGTGAATGACTCACCCTCCATCACATTGACTCCTTTTTCCCCGCTCAAAACGACCCTGAACGACGGAAAACCATCCATTACTCATCACACGTGGGCCGAGGCTCTATCACACACGTGTCGAGGCTCTATCTGGTTGTGTCTGTGTGTGTACTCGTGTCTCGTCGGCAGTTCTGTTTCCTGTCTGGTATGTCGTATGTCGTTTGTAGCCTGTCCGTTTGGTAGCCAGCCTGGTCGCGTGTGTCCGTCGGCAGGCTGTCCTGTCTGTCTGTCTGCTGTGTGGCGTGCTCCGTTCCGCTTCGCTTCGTTTCGTTTCGTTCGTATCGTGTGTCGGGTGTGGTTGCCTATGTGGTGGGCTGGACGGACCACCGATAACTAAAGCAAGGCGGTATATGTAACGGTGTGGTGTATTTGGTCGTTCATTCGATCACGTGCGGTGTGTGGGCGATGCTGTCAATCGAGACGGCAGACAGGCAGGCAGCCTGTGAAAGTCGCATCGTATCATTGAGTGCGGCTTGATTGTGGAGAGAGGGAGGCGGGGCTGCCTGAGTGCGTTTGGGGTGGGTGGGGAGAGAGGTGTGTGTGTGTCTGTCGGCCTTCAGGGGTGTTGTGTGGACATGTACGTTGCGGACGATTGTGCGTGAACGAGGCCTGTGTGTGTGTGTGGGAGGGGAGGGAAGGACACGGAGACCGACTGACTGACTGACTGCAGCCCTTCACACCACTCTTCACACTGAGTGGATTTGTTTACCATTGAATTCATAAGATCCCTCTCAATCATTCTCTCCCGCACACACAATACACACACACACACAGGGCTTACGTATGAAGTCTACCGTGCAGCGTTCTGCACTGAGCATATCACATAGGGTCAAGCACCCACGTGCAACAGACGAAACAGAGACGCACACACGCACCCCCTCGCGCAGTCTTTCATTCTCCACTGAGAGCAGAGCCATTCCACAAGCACAAGCACCCACGCAGCGCTTCAGTGCCTTCGATCCCTTTGGACAAGAGCACACGGATCCACACCCCTGCACGTCTTCCCCACCACACGAGAAAATCGCCCGGCACTCCACACTCGACCACTCCACACACACAGCCACACATACACATAACACTCCCAAAGTAACGAAAAATTCGTCACGGCGCCAGGAGCCCCTTGGCCATCTTCTGCAGTGCCTCAATCGGACCAGACGGCTCATTGCTTTCGCTCTTACTGCTGCCTTGCTCCAGACGAGCCATGCGACCCATCATGGCCTCATTCGCCTTCATCAGCCCCTTGTTAGCCTTGGCCAGCTGATCAAGCCGCTTGGTCAAGCCGCCAGTCGTCTTGCGGAGGTCTTCCTTCTCGGTGATGAGGTCTTGAATGACGGCCATTTGTGTGTAGAGCAGCTGAGTGAGGTCGATGGTCATCTCCCCGTTCTTCTCCGCCTCACTTTCAGCATCATCATCGCCATCGTCGTCTGGCAGGAGCGTCCTGACGGCCATTGGGAACAATCTTTGGACCTCCTTGGCGGCCAGGCCAAGCCGAGCATCGCCGCCAGTCCGCACACGAAGCTGTCTGAAGGCCTCGTACGCCATCGACCGATTTCGATCGCCCCACTCAGCCATGGGTGTCGAGGGACGGTCGCTGTCGTTGCCTCGGACCTCGAATGAATGCGCAAAAGCGCGTCTCGTCACCGCTTGTGGGCAGTAGCATGTGTCGTCGGCCTGCAGGTCTGCTGTCGCGCCGATGTCACCTCTGCGAACCTCCCGTTCAGATGGCTGGCCTGTCCGTATGCCTGATGCACAAGCAAGCCACCATTGTCACAAGAACTCGTCGGTACATGGCCTGGAGCTTACTGTCGCCGATCACTTCTCCGTCGAAGTCCGAACCTATAATACATTCATGGCAACGCTGCTTGCAATACAGACACACGCCGTCAGCAATGACACCCGTACCAGAGCCAGCAATGACGTTGTTTCTTGCAATGACGTCGTCTTCGGCAATGACGTCGATACCAGCTCGGACACTCCGATCAGCCTCGACATCGGTTTCTGCCTTGACGTCGCCGTCGTTTTCAGTGAACTCGCTGGGATTACCCGCCTCAATGGTGCCTGCACGTTACATGCAGTCGTCATCTTAAGTGAAGTAATAGTGCATTGTGCGATGGAGCTCACCCTGGGCAATGATGTTCCTAGAAGATCGGACGTTGTCGCTTGCAACGACGGTGCCGTCCGACAAAACAGCGGTATTGGCCTTCACATACCTCTCCGCAGTGACGTCACCGGTGCCATCTTGGAAGAGTTCGGGATTGCCCGCGATGATGCCTTGCATGATTCAAACAATACGAACAACACAGTCATGCGTGTGCCTGCCACTGTACAGTATTGTGGAACTCACGCACGTTCGCAGCCGTCATCGTCCTGCCAAACATAGCCAAACAGCACACAAAACGACACGGATGGACGGATGTGGCGGGCAGCGTACCTCAAACTCATCGGCGTCGCAGTCAGCCGCGCATGGCGGGGCAGGTATGGCGAGGAAGACCACCGCGACGAAGGCCAGGCGAGAGAAGACCATTTTGTCCGGTTACGCTGAGTTGGTGGAGTCTCTTCACTTAGAGCGGTGCAGAAGAGAAGGACCGGCCGTCGCCAAGGCTTCGTACATCCAACGGCACAGGCAGGCCAGCGAAGGAGCATCTTGGCCGGCGGGCAGACGGCACCGAACATTCTCCCACAATGAGCACCCCACTCCCTGGACACGCAGCAGGCCTTTGCAAACTCATTTAACAAAATATCTGCGGTCTGAGCTCGCATTGCAAGCTTTGGGCCACTTAGGACATTGCGTGAAACTGCTTGCAAGCTTTGGAGATCTCCGCGGGAAGTTTCTCGAACTCAATGGCTGTGAATGGCGATGGGAGCGTGTGCCCAGTGTCGCTGGAATCTTTCTACGAGATCAACCACATCGCCTCACTCATCCATAGGCACGGCTTTCGCCGAACCGCGCTTCAGTTCCCTGACACGCTCCTCAGGGACGCACCTGCCGTCTGCTCGGCCCTTCAGCGACGCCTTCGCCAATGCGGCGCGTCTGAGTGTCTGGTGTTCGTGCTGGGCGACACTGCCTATGGGGCGTGCTCCGTGGACGAGGTGGCTGCACAGCACTATGGAGCAGGTAGGCAGGTTGGTGTATGAGGGTAGCAAGACGGCAATGGATGGATGGATGGATGGATGGATGCATGGATGGCTCTGTGTCTGTCTGCTTGTTCATTTGCTTGCTTGTTTGTTTGCTTGTCCATCAGACAGTATTGTGCACTACGGCCCGTCGTGTCAGTCGGTGACGGCTCACGGTCTGCCCGTGATGTGGGTGTTCGGGCGCGTACCAATCGACGCCGCACAGCTCATCAAACAGGTAGGCAGACGCGCACTGACCTGTGGCAGGGTCCTCCTGGTGGCATGGACGGGTGTGCCGTGCGTGTCCTGCATTCACACTCAGATGGACTCCAACGCTCTCTTCTCATCTCCCTGTCTTTTGATCTACGACGTGGCTTACCACCACGCCCTTAACGAGCTGCTCGATGCCATGCCCATCCCGCCACCGTCCCACACAGCCGACAGCAACGGCTCCACCATGGTCATCGATGCGAATGACTCGTCGACGCCTTTCGATGTGGCCGTGGCCGTCCCCAGGACGTCGCTGCATCTCGACCAAGAGGGCGAAGGCGATGCGAAGGAGGCGGATGGACAGAAGGACTCGATTGTTGTGCCTCTGCAAGGTCAGCGGCGAAGAGCTCGTTCTCGGGGGCGAGGGAGGCGCGAAGTGACGTGATTCTCTGTGTGTGTGTGGTGTGTGGTTCAGTTGCCAATCGTCGAGTGTGTGCTGTCCGAGTGAGAGATCGGCCATCAGACAGCGGCGAGGCGTCACCTGGGAGAAGGGACCTGCAGGTGAGCAGGGCGACAGGTCCACAATTCTGCTGACATATTCGAGCGGTTGTTCTCTCTCTATTGGCCCCTGCCAGCCTCTGTCTGTCCGCGTGGCCCCTGTTTCCCCCGATCACTCGCCTGAGAGCGCCTACCTTGATTCGCTCCCATGTTCTGACTCGGGGCAGCTGCAGCTTGTGTGTATAGGTACTCCTCTACGCGCACGCAATGGGAGTCACGGCACCATCGCAGCATTGTGTTCTTTACGGGCATCGCATGCCTGTATATGCGTATGTGCCCGTGATCAGCTGAGGATGACAGCCCCCTCCTGACGCGGATCCTCAAGCGGCATGGCAACACACACAAGGTAGGTACCCCGGCCATCCACCATCCCTCCCTCACACATGGCCTCCCATGTGTCCATGTGTGTCTGTGTCAGATATGGCAGTACTCGCCAGTCCGTGGCTCGTTATGTGAGGTGTCGTCCCAGTCAGGCCGGCTGCTGATGAGGCGGTACAGGGCGGTGGAGGCCGTCCGCACCGCTCGAGTGATCGGCCTGGTCTACGGCACAGTCGCACTGCAGCACCATAGGAAGCTTCATGACAGACTGAAGAGGCTCATTCGGTCAGTTTTGTTGGCACACACACGTGAGAAGAACGAAAAAGTGGTCTCATGGTGTGTGTGTGTGTGTGTGTGCATGTGTGTTGTGTGCTGTGTGTGTGTGGTGCATGACGCAGGTCGGCTGGTCGTCAGGTGTTGTCTCTGGTGGTCGGGAAGCTGAGTGTGGCCAAGCTGGGCAACTTCCCAGAGGTCGATGCATTCTGTCACATGGCCTCTCCGGAGGACCCACTCACAGAGGCACTCAGCAAGGACCTCCCTGCACCCGTATGCACCCCATATGAGCTCGAGGTGGCGCTGGGCGTCCGTGAATGGGACGGCCGGTACATGCTCGAGTTCGCTGAGCTGATCGACTCCCTTCCTTTCCCCGCCATCCCAAGCCGAACAGCCGACCACCATACAGTGGAGCACTCACTCATCGGCCGGGGCACCATCCGCGAGTTCCACACCTCTGCAAACGGCACTGTGCAGGGGGCGGGGGGCGGGGGGGAGGCCGCGGGCGAGCAGCTGATGGTCAAGGGGGAGGGCGTGCTAAGTGTGGGGCTCGCATCGGTGCTGGTGCCGTACACCTCGCGAAGCTTCAAAGTGAGTCAGCCACCGAGCGAAAAGAGCACACAGGGGGGTATGGACTCGTTGTGTGTGGTGCGTTTGCGTGTGTGTGAAGGGTGTGGAGCCATTGGAGGGTCTCGACGCGCCTCGTGCGGCGCTGGAGGGCCAGCGGGGCATCGCTGCGGGGTATGAGGATGAATTGCCCGCTGCCCCCCTACACACGAGGACATCCGATGACAGAGCTGGAGGTGGCGACAAGACAGCTCAGACGTGGAAAGTCGAGCTGTGACTGCCTGACGTTATGTGTATTGTGTCAGTTGTGGTGGTTGGTCGTTGGGTGACGTGTGTGTAATGTGTGTGTCGTCAGACGGCCGTCACTCGCCTCGCCTACCATTCGTTGATCGAGAGAGACAGACAGACAGACAGACATGTCAAGTGAGGGGATGAATACGTTCTGTTTCTTTCCGTGCGGTAGTGTAGAGCGTGTAGTGTGCAGATTTTCTGTGTGTTGCCCAAGGGTGTGTGTGCCGCTCCGCTTGCGGGACTTCGTTCGCCTTCAGATATTTACTTACACCTACCAGTGGTGTCCCTTTGTGTTGCTCTTGCGCACACACAGACGGCGGACAGACGGCGGACAGACGGCCATACGGCATAACACACCACATCATGTCAGCTAATCCACTCAGACAGACAGAAGAGGGTGGCACTTCGTGTGCGGGAGGGGGCCTTGGCGAGCCGACGAATGGCCGAAGATGCCCACCCCACACACGAAATGTGACCCCCTTGCAAACAGCAGGCAGAGAGAGAGGGAGACAAAGGAAGTCAGCTGCACATATATCGACCAGGCCAAGCCGCCACAAATCACAGCCATGAGCAAGTCAGGCAGACAGCCAATCCACCCATACATATGTTCCCATGCCCCTTAGCTATCAATGTGTGTGTGGATGGATGGACGATCTCTCTCTTTCTCTCTCCCCCAGCAGGTAGGTGCCCTGCCCCCCCTCCCTCTGTCTACCAGTCTGTTAGCTATCAGTGTGAGTCTGTCCAGGCGTCTACTTATATAGCGGCGCGACGTATTTCGCCTGGATCTGCACACACACACACACATCCAGCATCCAGCATCCAACAGGCACACAGTCAATCGGCCTTTCTTAAAGCTTTGAGTACTTTCTTCTCGCAGTACGGCCAGTTATCCTCGGGCTTGCCTTTGCTCCAGGGGCTGCCGTCCTGAGTGCCGTACTTGTAGCGGAGGGTGTCGGGCATGCAGAACAGCGACACAGTGCTGCCGGTGTCGTAGAGGCACTTGCCGTGAGAGCACTTAGCGCCGCTGCTCGCTTCCAGCACACAGATGCCGCCCTTGTTGCACAGCTTGTAGTCAGTGACGGTGCAGGGATCTCTGCCGAAGCCGGTCTTCGTGCAGACCTTGCAGGTCTCTGCACACACACAGACAGACAGACAGACACTTCAGTGGGATGTCAATCCATCCATCCATCTATCCATCCATCCATCCACACGTACCACCGGTTGTGGCCTTATTGACGAGCTGCTGCTGGATGGTGTGGACGGCTTTGAGGGCGTCAGCGGTCATCTTGCTGGACGCCTTGACCATGTTCTTGGCCTGCTGCATCTTCTGCTGCGCGAGTGAAAACATCCGCTGCTTGCTGGACACGCCATGCGTTGCTGACAGCTCTCCTGATCACACACAGGCACACCCACGCAGACCCCATCCATCCATCCCATTGCCCTGCACACCTTCCTCAGTGTCTTCCTCGGTATCATCGGTCTGCAGTTCGGAGATCTCCTCACTACGGCTCAGAAACGACTCACCTGCACACACACATTCACACACACACATGAAGGCCAGCCAAGCGTGAGCCATAGCCCCGAGCGGTGCTTTGTGTGGCATAGATCTCCAAAGATCTCCCACCTTTGGTGTCCGGCGGGCCCTCGCAGTTCATGCCATACAGATCGCAGTCCTCATTCCGTCGAGCGGCGCCCACTGCCGACATGGCCGCCGCGGCAATGAGGAGCGCACACGCCATGGTCGCCATGCCCCTCATCGCGCGCACTCTCCGTCTGACGTGGTTAACCGACGGCCGGTTCTTCTTCCGCCGATGCGAACAACAAAGTCTTCCGCAACGAATCGCAAGGGGATGGAATGGACTCGGCGTAGGGCTCCCGGGTCGCTGAATTGTTAGATCACTCTGATCTTGCGGATCGAAACTGCTTCCTGGCCACGTAAATCAACCAAATAAGGGAGGTGGCGCAGACAAGGGTCCTCTTCCATATGGGACGCACAGCGTTACACACGTTCACACATTAGCGAAGTGGGCGACTGGTGGCCTCCCCGCCGATCAGAGACAAAACTGAACGTTTGTTGGCAGCACAGATCTGGTTGAAGGCAGCGATCGATGTGGCTGCCTGCTGTCCTCTTGACTCTCCCCCATGCCGTCGGCGCCGCTCGCCGTTCCCCTGCTGCTGCGGCACCTGGCAGTGTGTCCTTCGTGGCCCCTTCTCTCATGCTGCGTGGCAAGACTACTGCCGTGGCCGAAGGGAAGCAGCTGCAGCGAGGACAGGCACCGCTCGGGATTGGCGTGAGGAGGGGGCAGCCTACAGTCTTGCACTTCTCTGGCTGGGGGGAGCCGACGGCTGTCACATCCCTTATGAGGGTATGCACACTCTATAGCGGAGACCGAATATGGATGAGTGTGGATGTGTCTGTGTGTGTGTGTTTCAGTTCACTTTGGAACTGTTGGTCACTGTTATTGCTGGAGGCGCCATTTTGGGCATCAGTGAGTCAGACAGTCATTCTTCGACGCCTGATGCATCTGTCTGTCTGCCTGTCTGTGTGTCTGTCTGTCTCAGTCTTAATGTTTTTGGTCGTCTTGGTCTGGGTAGCCGTTGAAATCTCGAAGGCCATGGAAAAGCACAGGGAGAACGCAGAGAAGGCCAGACAGAGGCGCGAAGAGGAAAGGGCCAAGGAACAGGAGAGAATGAGGCGAGAGGCGGCCAGCGACCCCAAGATGGAATGGGACGACAGACTGAGCGAGAGGCAGCCTCGGATGTAGCTGTACATATGTAGTGCTTCCGACGATGCAGATCTGCTTCGGCCACGCAGGACGGACTCTGCGGATACACACATGCATTTGAGTGTAGATGATCTCTCTAGCTGTCGTTTGATGCTCTTTTGTCGGTGTGTAGACCGACGCGTGCAAAGGGCCCAGCCCAGCCACACACACACACACACACACATCCAATTGATCCATGCTCAGCCCACCCCGCACAGCACGTTCACGCCCGAAGTATCCACACACATATGTGCACACCAAATGCGCCCGCCGCGTCCCTCACTTACTCCAAAGATCAAAAAACGCCTACACACCCTCCCGCCAACCCCCCCGCACACACACACACACACACACCCAAACGCAGTCAGTACTGAGGCAGCTGAGGGCCCTACTAGAAACCATTCATCTCATTCACTCACTCACTCAGTCGCACACCCACACACCCAGCCACCCACCCACCAGATTCTCACGCGTCGCATCACAACAATATGGTCAGCTACCAGGTAGCTACCTACCAGCAATAAGGTCGCCTGTCTGACCTCTCACTCACTCTACGACCTCCGCTGCCTCAGCCTGCCGGCTGCCAGCTGCAGGCTTGGAAAAGAGGAACGAGTAGACCTCTCTCCCGTCCTCCAGGTGAAACGACCCCTGGAAATGCGTCTTGTTCACTGCACGGCACGGAACACACACACAACGGAACGGAATCAAAAACCGTTCCGTTCCGTTCCGTCTCAATCGGCCGGCCGCCTTGACTGGACGGACCATCTGACTGATTTACGTGGTGCTCTGGAGCTGACCTGAGTGTGCGGTGTAGCCGAAGTGCGATAGGTGGGCGTACTTGAGCCCCTCGTAGAAGCGGTTGGCCATGTGGTGCACCCGGGCGCCGGCCCCGCTGCCGATGTAGTGAATGCCGTCCCTAACGATGTGCTGCAATATGTGGTCGTGGCCGTTGAAATACACGTCTACGCCGCCTGCAGACAGACACATGGCATGGCGCACACGGCCGTTCTGTGGCTGGCCTGGCTGCCCCTCTGTGTGTCCGCCCCTCCCTCCCTCCCTCCCTCCCTCCCTCAGCCTCACTTACCCTCTTTCAGGACCGGAACGAGCCTCTCGATGAGTGTGGGGTTGTCGCCATGCTCAAACAGGGAGGAGCTGTAGATGGTGAAGTGGCCTATCACAATCTGCCACACACAGAGAGACCCAGCAGTATGCTCTCACCTCCCCTCACTCGCATCCTCCCTGTGCTGTGCGTGTGTGCGTTGTTCTTTCCATCCAGATCACCCACCTTCCAGTCAGCATCGGATTTCCTCAGCTCATCTCTAAGCCACTGCAGCATCCGCCCGTCAAGACCGCCATCGTCTCGCCCCTCCCCTGCCGCCGCCACACTCGTCGCGTTGCCGATATTGCCGACAGGTCCAGCTAGTGGGGTCGGTGGTGGTGGTTTCTCGTCCAGTCTACTGAGGGCCCGATACTTGCCCTCGTCGATCGTCCCTGCGTCATACTCATCCTCAAGCCGCCTGCAAAGGTAGACAGACAGCCAGACAGACAGGCAGGCAGGCAGGCAGGCAAAGAGGTGTGTGTGTGTGTGGTGTCACCCGTCGTCTGCCATTCGTCGCTCGCTGACCGTTTGTTTTTGAGGTAGACTTTGAGCCGCCCCGGATGCGCGTCGTCGGGCGGCCCCTCCCTCTCAAAGTAGGTGAACGAGTCCCCCCCGCACAGCAGCCAGGTGTCCACACTCGCTACCAACACACGCAGACCACCCTGACCGACACAACACAACACAACACAACACAAGGCGTCCACAAGCTTACAAGCCACCGTGTGTGTGTGCATGTGTGTGTGTGTGTGCCCGAACCGGTCCGTGCAGCGTGTAAGTGAAGTTGAGCGCAGGAAAGTGCCACCGCGGGCTCCTGTGGGTGTACTGCAGCTCGGCGTCGATGCTCTCGACCCCGCCATACCAGTCATGATTGCCGGTGCAGGTGATCCAGGGCACCTGCAGGGACGGCGCGGTGAAGGTCTGCTCGAATTTGTCGGTGAATTGCGGGTCATCCACCCCGCTCACACTGCAGCAAACACATGGACGGAAAGAGGTGACACACGGACACAGACAGGGGGAGATGGTGATGGTGGGATGAAAGGGCCGGGCCCTTCCTTCTTCGCCGACCCACCCGTCCTCGTAGAAGAGATCTCCCAGGCTGAGCACCGCTTTGGCGTCCATCCGCTGCGCCCAGTCGCCCATGCTATCTGCAGCCAGCACATGCATAGAAGGAACAATCACTCATGTAGTCAGCCGTTCGCCGGCTCATCAGCACCTCACTCACCTGCCACTTTTTTCGCCTCCACATCGCCCCAGTCGCCCACAGTCAAGAAGCCGACACTGTTCGGGAGGGGACCGATGGGCTGCAGGGAAGATGCGCTACAGCATCCAACAGCACAGACGACCACCAGGAGGACCAACAGCACCATCTCTGCAGAAGCCAAGCTCCCGATGGCTTGCAATCTGCCAGCTCCCTCCGTCCAGCACAGCCACCAACTGGACTTCGCAGAGGAAGTTGAACACGTTCGTTTCACGCTCCCGCACGCCGAAGTCGAGAATTCGCGACGATGTGCTCGCCCCTGTGTCCCGCGGGTTCTGGTGCCTCCCGTCGCATCCCCACCACACACGCATAGGATGGAAGATCCCTCTCCCCAGTCCACCACCACGAGCACCGCCCCCGAGTCGTCGCCATCCCATGAGGAGGCGGTGAGCATCGACAAGCACCTGGATGCGGGTGTGGATGCGGTGAGGAGGCACAAGCCGTGGCGATACTACGGGGCTGTAGTCGACAAGACCTCTCAGAAGACCACCTTCAGGTAGGGAAGGAGCACAGAGAGACAGGCCTGTCTGCCTGCCCGGCGCCTCTTTGGGTCTGTGTGCGTGTGGATGGTGCGTGCTTGATGCCCTGGCTGTGGAATGCACATGCCCACGTGTGTGTGTGTGTGTGCTTGTAGGGTGTATGCGCCCGAGGCCACTTGTGTGCTGCTCCTCCGTGCGGGCAATGGCTGGGGAGAGCGGGAGGAGCGGCTGGAGAGAGGGGAGGACGGCACCTGGACCATCACCATCGATGAGGACCTCACCGGTACCTCCCCCTCCCCCCTCCCCCTCAGCGACCTTCATGTGTGTGTGGCGTGTCTGTCTGTGGAATGGTGTGTGGTGGGTGCGGTGTGTTGCGTTGCAGGTAGCGAGTACAAGTACCGAGTGCAGAACCACCACGACTACCTGCCCCACCCGGGTTACGACATGTGGCGGCTCGACCCCTTCACCTTCGACTGTGTGGGCGAGGGCAGAGTGTGGAACGCCGTCGTCACCGACCACCTCAAATTCAAATGGACACACAAACACCACACCAAGTGAGTGACAAGACCCCCCCACCCACCCACCCACCCACCCACACACACAGAGAGAGAGGCACAGAGGGAGGGAGGGAGGCATCTGTCTGTCTGCCTGTGTGTGTGGGGGGTTGTGGTCGGTATCGCCCAGGGGTCGCGAGCCGATGTCGATATACGAGTTGCACCTGGGAGGGTTCTGTCCCTTTGGCAACTACCGCGACATAGCGACCAAGATCGTGCAGCACTGCGGGTGGCTGGGCTTCACACACGTGCAGATCATGCCGCCCTTCCAGACGCCACTCTACGAGTCGTGGGGATACCTGGTGGGTCCAGCCAGCCAGGCAGATAGGCACGTGTGCCTTGATGTGTGTGTGTTGATGTGGTGTGGTGTGGTGTAGGTGTCGCTGCCGTACTGCATGTATCATCGCTACGGCACCCTGGACGACTTCAAGTGGCTCGTCAACCACCTGCACGAACACGACATAGGCGTGAGTGAACCACACACCCACACACAGAGACACACACATGCACACCAACCTCTCTTTCTCTCTCTCTGTGTGTGTGTGTGTGTGTGTGTCTGTGCGTGTGGATGATACCAACACCCCACCGACCCTCTCAGGTGATAGTGGACGTGCCGCTGGGTTTCACCATCAAGGACTGGGACACGGGCATCGCCATGTTCGACGGCACCGACGTCTACCACCACCACCACCTCTCGCTCAAGGGGTGGAACGACCAGTGGAACACTCGAGTCTACAACCACGACAGCCAATACGGTCAGTTCCCCGGCAGGCACACACACAAAGACACAGAGAAGAGAGAGAGAGAAATGCGTGTGTGATGTGATGGGTTTGTTGGTCCCCTCATGCAGTGCGCGACTACCTGATTGGCATCCTGGCGTATATGCACGAGGAGTGCGGTGTGGACGGGGTGCGCATCGACGCCGTCGCAGCACAGGTCTACCAAGACTACGACAGAGGTCGGTGCGGGGCGGTGTGCACACCAATCACAACACAACACACCAACCAATCACAACACAACACACCAACCACACGCACCTGCCTCTGCCTGCCCCCATCTCTCCCTCCCCCTCTCCCTCTCCCTCTCTGTCTGTCTGTCTGTCTGTCTGTGTGTGTGCATCTACGTGAATATTTAGGTCTCAAGTCGTGGCGCAAGAATGACTGGGGCTCGTTCACCGAAGAGGACTGGCGGCTGATCAACGGGCTGGGCGGCGACAAGCACATGGGCGCCTACTACCTGTCAGAGGCTGTCGACCTGCCCGCACTCAAGTTCCTCAGAGAACTGCACCAGAGGTGAGTGAGGGCAGGTGTGTGACCGACCGGGTGATAGTGATAGGTATGTGATCTGTGTATGTGTGTATGCGTGTGTAGGCTGCTGGAGCGATACCCTTCGTTCTTCACGATAGCTGAGGAGAGCAGGCGGGTCTTCCCGAAGCTGGCGTGCCCCATCGAAGAAGGCGAGCATCCCCTTCACGCGCAGAGGGGCTCTTCTCTGACTGACCTGTTGCGTGTCTGTCTGTCTGTCTGTCTGCTCTCTCTCTCTGTGTGTGTGTGGTGTACTGTCTGCAGGCGGATTGGGTTTCACCTACGCGCAGGATCTCGCCGAGATGCACCGGATGCGCCGATACCTCCACAAAGTATTCATGCCCACCGCCCTGCCCTCATCAATGCCATCACGTGTGCATGTGTGGGTGTGTGGATGGGTCAGTTCACCGAGCACCGCAAGGTGGAGGAGATCGAGGGCGTCCTGCTGAGCTCCCGGCCCGAGAAGATGATCTCGCCCATCACCACACACGACGAGGCCGCCAATGGTCAGCAAAGCATGGCTTATGGAGGGTTTTGAGGGGGGACAGAGAGTGCGTGCATTCATTTGATTTGGTGTGCTGTGGTCTGGCGGGTGCAGGCAAGCTTCGCATCTTCAGCGAGATGGGCAACCACCTGCAGCTGATCGGGCTGGCAGCATTCATGTACTTCAGACCTGGTAGGTAGGGTACTCATTGCCACCGCACCGACCACACCCACCTGCAGCCACACTGCTCGCAAATCTGCCGTGGCCTCTCTCTCTCTCTCTCTCTCTCTCTCAGGTGTCCCGATGGTCTTCATGGTGAGAGACGGCCCCCACCCTACCGAGAGAGAGAGAGAGAGAGAGAGACAGGGATCCTCGTTGATGGGATGCCCGCCCTGTGTGTGCCATGACGTCATGATGCGTTTCGTTGTGTCTGTCAGGGTGACGAGTTTGGTGAGGAGGGCAGCTTCACCGTGGGCAGCGGCGACCGGCCCGTCGGGCTCGACTGGTCCAAGACCGGCCCCCACGCCCAGATGCACCAGCAGATGCTCATCGCCAACTTCCACGACCTCAACGCCATACTCACCAAGGAACCCGCCTTTCGTACGCAGTTGCCACTCTCTCTCGTCAGCCAGCCAGCCAGCCAGCCAGCCCACTGGTTGTCTGTCTGGTGCGGTGTGGTGTGGTGTGGTGTGGTTGGGTGGCCAGGTCGCCAGGATAGCAGTAGTTTGGACCGGAACGGCTCGCACAACCAGTTCAAGTGGATCTCGTTCGTCCGGTGAGTGCAGGACAGTGAACTCCAGCCACCCAGCCACCCACCCACCCACCCACCCACCTGTATGTGGTGTGGTTTGTGTTGGTGCAGGTGGGGCAGCGATGAGCACTCCTGGACTTCCGGCAGCGAGCTGGACCACAAGGACGACCTGGTCTTCGTCCGCAACGAGAACCACGGACACGTTCCGGCCAACATCTACGTTCCGTCCGAAGGAGAGGTCAGCCTCTGCCACCCACCCACACAAACCTCCCACCCAGAGCGGCGCATTCTCATGCTCACGTGTGTGTGTGTGTGTGTCTGTGTGTGCCAGTGGCGCGTCATCTACAACTCCATCGACGAGCGCTACATCGGCAAGCACGACTACAACCAGCACGACCCCTACTGGACGGCCCATTCCCAGGGCCGCTTCCTCTACCTCTGGCTGGCCCCATTCCAGAACATCGCCCTCAAGCGCGTCACCCCCACACCCACACACAAGGGGGACGCCCACACGCACCAGCTAGAGGACCGCTCGGGCGAGTGCGGCCCCATCGCCACACCGCCCACAGTGGCCGAGGGGCTGGCGAGTGGTGGACGTGGTGCGGCGTCGACGGAGATGGACTACGGCCGGCTGTCGGCCCTGAGCGAGTCCGACGAGACCGTTAGAACCGAGGGCTAGATAGATGGATGGATAGATAGATGCGCACATAGAGCACACACACATACACATACACACACCCACAGGGGGAAAGGCGGCTGCTTATGCTTTTCGTTGGCTTGCTTGTTTTAGTGGGGCATGGTGGCAACTTTCTCTGTCCTGCTGCTGCTGTTGGATTGGATGGGCGGTAGACAACGCGGCCAGGCCATATCTGCCGTTCTTCAGATGGGCTGGCTGTGTGTGCGTGTGTCTGCGTGTGGGTGGTTTGGGGTGGGTGCTGCCTGTGTGTGTGCGGTAAGTGGTCTGCATGGCATGGACGGCTGAATGATATTTGTGTTGTACACCTGTGTGTGTGTGTCTGGGTGTGACACGTGGTGTGTGTGGGTGCGTTTGTCTCCCTTGCTGATCTGTGGACGGCTGTCTGTCTGTCTGTCTGTCTGGCTGCCGTGATGGGTGTCTCCCTGTGAATGTGTGAAATGAGGTAGGGTAGGTTGGTAGGGCGGATGAGTGTACAGCGGCTAGATAGACAGCTGTGTGTGTGTGTGTGTATCGGGAAATTGATACGAACATCACACATACACGCACACACACATAGACGACATCTCATCACACCGCCTGACGTGACGTGCCGTGACGTGCCGTGTTTTTTTGCGTGGAATGTGCAACGTGCAACGATGATCTCTGTCTGACTGGATTGAGTGAGTGATCCCTCGGATCGATGGCAGTCACCGACCTACCTGTCTGTCTGTCTGTCTAGCTATCCCGCATCGTCCGTCCGTCCGCCTGTCCGAGGTTTTTCGTGTGTCGTCTGTATGCGTGTATGTGTCGCGTATGCTATACGTCGCAGTATATATGTCATCCGTCCGTTTAAGAGCGTTTTAAGACCCACAATCAATCGTCCGTCCCATCGTCGTCGACCGACCAATTCGCGGCGTGAGTGCACCCTGCATGCCGATGTCCGTCCGCCTGTTTGTCTGCCCGTCTGGATGAGTGTGTGTGCCGCCATATACGTGTGTGTGCCTATGTGTGTACGTCGTTACGTGTGTATGTGTGTGTGTGTGGGAGTGGGAGTGAATGCCTTTACACGCGCGTTGATAGACGCGCGGAAAGAGGGAGAGACCAACAACACAACAATGAATCGATCAAGTATTGACACTACTGTGTCGCAGGCCAGCCACACATGGATGGATGGATGGATGTAAGTAGGGACCTGAGTGAGGGAGAGCACCTGACCAGACCAGAGAGAGAGAGGGTGGAGGGGGCTCACCAGACACCACAACCGGCAGCCAGCAAAGGTAGGTAGGTAGTCAGGGAGGGAGGGATGGGGCATGGAGGTTGGATGGAGGGAGGGTGGGGTGGTAGGGGCCTGCGACAGACAGCTGAGTTACTATTCTTCCTTCATTCATTTCGCCTTGCTTGTTTCGTTTGCGCGCGTCCATACTGATGTGATTTATGTGATGTTGTGCTCATGATGTTTCTCGCATGTCATGTGTGACCGATGCATCCCTCAACCCACCCATACCATACGCACCACGTCATGCACTGCACGCCATTCACTCACCAAGCCAGCGACAGGTCTGCTCGCCGACCACAGACGCCCCTCTCCCGCTTCGTGTGCTGTGTCTGGCTTGGCTGGCGTGTGTCGTCATGTCGTATGCACTTGCATGCCCCCGAGGTCACTGCCTCCCCATTGCTGTCCGTCTGTCTGTGTGTCTGTCTGGTTTTCTCTCCCCCTCCTCCCCCTCTCGCTCGCCCCCGGTGGCTCTGTGTGTGTGTGTTCTGATGATGCTGTGTGGGGGCTGCGTGTGGATTTGACATGGTGTTGGTGCTGTCATGGTGTGCTGGGTGCTGTGTGTGTGTTGTGTGATGTGTGTGCAGTAAGTGGGTGTGCTGGCGCGGCAGCACAGGTAAAGTAGAACCTGTGGGTGTATGCCGTCGCCTGGCCCAATTAATACAACACACCTACATCACGCCCCTCACGCCCGCCCCTTGGTTGATGGATGCTGATTGATGTGTCGAGTGACTGATTGGGTGAGTGAGTGAGTGGCTGATGACGGGCTGGCTGACAGGCCGGGCTGCTGCTGCTTTTGGTGGGGGTTGTGTTTTGCCGAGGTGGGGCTGGCTGTTTGTGTGTCGAGTGGGCATGTTTGTTTGTTTGCAGGCAGGCACACACACAATGCGGCGCCGTTTTTTGTGCGCTGGTTTACTTGCCGACCACTCTCCTCTCCTCCTCCTCCTCTCTCCCTGGCTTCAGCAGTTTTGCTCACGTGCCCACGTACTTGTGCCCGTGTCTGCAGTCATGTGTAATGCCGATTTTGCTCCAGTGACTAGCTAGCTCTCTCTACCGAACGACCAACAATGTGCGTGCATCGCCTGCAAGTGTGACTGTGGGTGGGCAAATGGATGGATGGATGGATGAATGATGTCGACCACCCATGTTGCCAGTGAGGGAAGGGAGGGAGGGGAGGGAGGGAAAGAGACACATGGAGAAAAACCTGACAGAAGTGACTGCCGGCAGACAAGTAGGGAGGGCGGGGGGTGGGGAGAGGGACTTGCCGATTGTTGCTGTTTTTTCTTCTTGGCGATGCGATGCCTTCACGTGCGTCCCGGTTATCATGAATTCTTGTCCTCATCGGCACGGTAAGGCAAGGCGCACTATCCACGCGTCTCGTCCTGCGGTGGCGGTGGCGGTGACGACTGTGATTCATTACCGGACACGTGAGTGACACCACGCCAGTAGCCGGCCATTGCTGTTGTCAGAGGTAGGGACATTTGGCACGTTTGGCATGAGGGAGGGTGGGTGATAGTGCTTCGGAGGCAGAGCCGTGTTAGGGGGAAGGGGATGCAACTTGTCGGCATCGTTGCCAGTGCCCGTGAACGCGCACTACATGAATGGATGTGTGTCGAACGTCTGCCCCTCTCGCTCTCCCCCATAATGCTCCCCAGCGGAGTGCATGTCAGTGAATGGCGAGAAAAAGTGAGTCAGAGAAAAGTGGCCCAAAAGTGATTCTTTCCGTACCACCTACCCTATACACACCAGAAATGCAAGCAGAAACACCACAGTGGCTTTACTTGGACACGCACAGCCAGCCAGCCCAGATACCCACGAAACGCAGCCATTGTATCACATCGTCTGCTCTACATGGACCCTCTACCTACCTTATTATATACACACACGTACATCAATCAATCTGTGAGCCCGCAATCGACTCAAGCCAAGGCGCTATAAATCACGACACAAAAGTATGGCGAATGGTACATGTGGTCGACAGCCAACCAAGAGGGAGAGAAGGAAAGGCAGGTGAACCCGCCCCGCCCACACGCGAGACGACACACACACACCCAGGACATGAAAGCAGACTCCTTCCTTATTCACACACAACACAACACGACACGCACACACGCATGCGGCACGAGCGGACGGAAGCATTGATAGGTCAGTCAGTCATTATGTACATACATACGTACATCCTGTCTTCCCTCGCTCCCCCCTTTATGCATATCCACAGAGCCATCCATCATCAGAACCTCGTGATAACCGCCGGCTGCCTGTCCTGCCCACCACCAAATGAAGAAGGCGCCGTCGTGTCTGATCTGCCATCGATCGTCGGCTCTCGGTCGGGCTCTGTCGGCGCCACAGTCAGTGCTGTGTGGGCAGGGGATGGGGCCTCGGTGCGAGTCATGCCGGGATGAGGGATGGGCACGGGCTGCGTCATCGGGTCGGCCGTGGCGAGCCGAATGGTCATGGTGTTGCTCACGCCCGTGTTTGCTGTGTAGCGGCCGGAGATGGACCGATACTGGGCGTCGAATGAGCCGGTCACGTCGACAGCGAGGTTTCTCCACCGAGACTTCTCGCTCCAGGACACCTTGCCTGTGGTCGTGTTGTAGACGCCGTTGACGGTGAAGTCGCCGTCGGCATCATTGCCAGTGCCCGTGACAGTGCCGTCCACACCGAATGTCAGCTTGTAAGTGGTGGTAAAGCTGACGCCTCTTTCCATGTAGCTGCCCAACCTGACGCACCCACATCACACACACACACACACAGCAGGACATATACAAGCGTACACCAACCGAAGGAGCCGATGTAGCTGCCCACCAGGTGCCAGACTGAGGGGGCGTCTTGGTGACGGTGGGCTTGATGCGGTCATTGCGGTTGCTGGCCAGCCGCTGTTGCTGCTGTATGTTGCCCCCCTCCACACACCCTTTGATGCAGCACCCGACACACCACCCGATGCAGCAGAGAATGGGGATGCCGAACAAACAGCTGACTGCAGACATAACACACAACACGCGGATTCATCACAAGTTCGCTGTGCCATGCGCTTACTGTGATGCGACAGGCCACATGCTTACAAACGATAGTGTGGGTGGTAGTCCATGGTTTGCCTTCACCACTCCCGCCACCTCCGCTAGAGTGAACAGCGACGAAGCCACCTCCCCCTCCGCCACCGCCAGAGAACCCTCCTCCGCCACCACCGAACCCGCCGCCGCCACCCTTCAAGTTACGCCGGTTGAGATTGCCTTCTCCTGCCGTGGCCGATGAGATGATGGAAGCGGCGATAACGACGGAGATCAGAGGACGGCAATGCATCATGGCTTGCGAAGAGAGAGAGAGAGAGGAGAGAGAGATGCGAGCTGTGAGCAGATGTGGTGCCGCTTGTCCCGGATCCTCCCTTTCGATATGCTCTTTGTGTGAGGATGGAATGGAAAGAAGAGAAGAATGGGCAAAGTCGCTCGCAAGATCTGAGACAAAACGGGTCCAAGCTCGCTGAAAGACTCCGTGAAACCGCTCGACCGCATGAGACAAAACAGGTCAAGCTTGCGCCGAACACTCCTTTGGTGAATGCGTGGATCTCTGCCACGTGTGCGAATCCAGCCAAGAACCTACAATTGAGGACATCAGCAAGCACAGATCCGCACTTCGTCCGCATTTTGACACCCAATTGCTATCGGTCACTGCGACATATGTGAACATGCAGCGGCAGTCGGACAGAGTCAGCAAGAGAACATGCGGCAGGTCGGACAGAGATCAGAGCAAGTCATGACACGGTATCACAATGATCACATGTACGTATTGCATCTCACGGGCTTTGTCGCAGGAAGCCCCACTTGCATTGCGGTTGACAGAGCAATGCAAGAGCACGCCGCCGCAATGGCAGTGGTCCGTGTGGTTCTTGTCATCACTTAAAGCCTTAAGTCCAGCAGAAGTGACACACAGGGACAGCTGTTGGCCGCCAATTAATTGCAAAGCCCCGTGGCCGGGGCAGTGAGTGCATCCACCCAGTAGAAGTGCATGGGAAGCCAGGCCCTCCGTCTGGTCACCATGGACAATGCTCACCGGCTGCAGCAGCTCCATGTCCTGCACCGACAAACACCCAGAAAAGGAGCACGTGCAGGACATACATGTACAGTCTCGTGGGGCAAAGTCCCGCAAAGAAACCCACCCAACGAAGTGCATGGGAAGCCTCCGTCTGGTGGCTGTGGACAATGCTCACCGGCTGCAGCAGCTCCATGCCCTGCACCGATCGCCCGGCCCCCGTCTCGCCCCCAATCCCCGGCGATCTTTCCCTTCCCC